TTTCTCACATTAGCAAGTTCCTTGGCAGTAACATATGTTTACAATTTTTACTGCACTTATCTTCAGAGACATCACCATAAATACATATACACAAAAGGGCTCATGTCTACCAGCAAAGTCCCAAACGCGTTCTGGCTCCTAAACTGCACCTCTTTGTCCCCAGGCTTTTCTGCCAGTCTGCATCCCTTCATCTTCCTTAGACAACACATTCATCCTGCTGTTCAACTGCTTGAACATCTTCAAACACTGACCTCTGCCAGCATGTCAGATATAGGTTCCTCACGCCCAGCTTAAGGCCTCCCCATCCTCACTGCCTGTGCTGTTTATAGGCTCCTCACGGTCTCATAGACTCACAAGGCTCCTTGTCACCTCTATACCTTCATGACCATCTCTTTGCCTAGAAGGTTCCACACTTCTGCTACTCAAATCTTCACGATGCGTAGTTCAAGTCCCACTTCTTCCTGGAACTCTTCTGACCACTCTTGATGTTAAAATCAAGACAGAGCTGATGGTAATCTGTCTGGAACACTCTCCTCCCAGATAACCCGTGGCACATCCCTGCTCTTGTTTCAGTCTCTGTCTAAACCTGTTGATCCTTTTGGCCTTTCCTGACCACTCTACACAAAATGATACCCCCTCCTCATGGCAGCATTCCCAGACCTCTTTGCCTGTTTTGTTTTCCTAACAGCCATCACCAGCTTTGGTACTCTATATATACTTGTTTATTGTCAGCCTCCCTTCTGCCCAGAACATAAGCTCCATGGGGGCAGGGAGTTTTGTATGTTTTGCTACTGATTTATGTCTAGAACCAAGAATATTTCATGGCATATAGTATATGCTCAGTAAATATTGGCTTCTCTTTAAATTCTAAAAGTGATAGCATGCTCTTATACTATATCAGTTAGTATTTTATAGTTCATTTAGGAATGTGAATTTTTTGGTCTCTTTTACTGTATTTTGAAGATAAGTATAAATAATTTCTAGTACCCTCCTATATTTTCCTCTCCTTCATCAATGCAGTGTTTCATTAAACATTCATTAAATGTATATGGAGCACCAGGTCCTATTGTTTGGCAAAAACTTCAAGAAGTCACAGTTACACATAAACACACACACAGAGGCAAGAGACAAGACTGAAAGGAAGGATAGTAAAAGGAAGACTAGTAAAACAGAGGATCCAATATTAATATATGGGGACAGAGTGTACAGAGTGATTGTGACAGACTGAGTGGGGAGAAAAAAGAAAAAAAGACAGAATGGTGTGAGACTAAAGTAGGATGTTGCCAAAGTAATCACCAGATGCTAGTGCTTAATATAAACTGTACCAAGGCAGATATGCAAATATATCCTACATGCATTTTAAAAATTCACATTTTAAAAGTTATCTGCCAGCTATCCTACGGGAAAAAAATTAGATTAAGACTAGCGCCATCTAGTGGATGTTTCGGATGTGACCCTAAGTTTTTCTCTCATACAAAACACTTGTAAATGCCCGCATTATCTCTGGTCTGCCACTCATAATGTGTTAGGGTTGCACATGACTAATTCCACCATCATGAAATAATCTTTCTCCAGGACCTGAGTCTCGCTGTAAGAGGTCGCCACATTTCTATCAAGGACGTTCCTACCTCCCAGCTGATGTCCCTCTGCTTCTGAAGAATGTATGCAAAATCAAACACTGCAATTCTTCTTTTAAAAAGTAAGTTATTATTTAAAATGTCCACATCTTTTGACCTAGCATTCTACTTCTGGAACTCTATCCTAAGGGAAAAACGTCTTAAATGAGAAAATCAATTAGTTATTTACAATGTGGGGCTTCCCTGGCGGCTCAGCTTGTAAGGAATCCACCTCCAATGCAGGAGACCCGAGTTTGATCCCTGGGTTGGGAAGAGCCCCTGGAGAAGAGAATGGCAACCCACTCCAGTATTCCTGCCTGGAGAATCCCATGGACAGAGGAGCCAGGCGGGCTACAGTCCACGAGGTTACAAAGAGTCAGACACGACTTAGCAACTAACCACAGATACACATTTACAACGCAGGGAGAGGAACCTACAAATCTGACAACAAAGAGATGGTCAAGAAAATTACAGCTATTATGATGAATACCAAACATTTGTATTCATATTCAAACAAACATTTTAGCAATTTCATATTAATAAACACTAAGTTAAAAAGACAAAAGGCAAAAACTGTGTGCATATGATCTCAAATATGTAAATAATATATGTAGGAAAAAAGACCAGAGGAAAATATTCTAAAATATTAACAGGGTTGCTATATGGTAGGATTATGTTTTTTAAAGAAATGCACTATTTCCCAAATTCTCTATGATTCATGTACACTGTTTATATAATAAATGTTACTGAAATCTTTTAAACAACCCATATGTTCTGACTGCTGCCACTGTTAGTCACTAAGTTGTGTCCAACACTTTTCTGACCATGGACTGTAGCCCTCCAGCCTCCTCTGTCCATGGGATTTTCTGATTAATTGCTTGAAATTTTCAACCTCTGCCTGATTTTATTAATTCCAGAAAAAGATAATAATCAAGTGAGCCAGTCTTTCCACAAGAAGGGGAAGCTAGAAAAGAAAGCAAACATATTACGGTTTTGTTCCAGGATCTGAATCCTGATGGAGAAATCCCCCAGTTGTCGAGTTGTACTGAAATTCCATTAACATCATCACACTTCTCTCAATAGAATGCCAGACACTTACAGAGGGTTCTGCTGGCAGCAGGGAGTTACAGAGTCTCATAACCACTTGGGTACCCATCTTCAGAATCCCCAGAAGAACCAGATCAGGGCCACCTTAAAATAGGAAGGGAAAGATACGGGCAAAAATACAGGTCAGGAAAAAAAATTTCAAAAGTTAAACCTATTTAGAGGGGTCAGGTTCCTACTCCAGGCTAACCCACTTAACTCATCTGGAAGTATAAAAAAATAGGACCCCAGTTAGCAGGAAATCCAGCCCAAGATACTATAATTACAATAGGGCTATCCCAGTGGCATTTTTAATACTAATCATTTAGGTTTTAATAGTAAAAAAGCAAAAACAAATGCTTCCCTATCATTAGTCAAGCAAGAATGCGTTTTCCCTCTACCCTAAATGTATCACTCTGTTAACAGAAATAATCAATAAACAATCTATAATAGGAGTAGAAAGGAATTTTACTTGAGCCAACCTGAGGACTATAACCCAGAGATAGCCTCTCAAATAACTCTAAGCAACTGCTCTGGAGAAGCATGATTTTCAGCACGGTTTTAAATCTTGTCAGAACAAAGAACATCAAAGAAGTCAGAGATTCATTCCTTCAAGTTTTCAAAAAAACAGATCAGCATGTACACAGGAAGTCGGTTTGGCCTTGGCACTTGGGAAGAGAATCTTATCATCGAAGGAGTAACAGCACTGGTGTCCCAGGAAGAGAGGCATTTCATCTTTAACATGCATGTTCTGTATTTCTAGTCAGTGCACCCTTTTCTATAACGATTAAAGCAGATGTAAAATGTATGTTTGATAAGCCACAAGCAGGCTGTTTTAGTTAGCACAAAATTCAAGTTAAATCATCTATAAGTTGGAATGACTTTCTCAAACCTCAATATGTGAAAATTTTCTCCATTAAGTCAAAAACCATAGGAAGAATTCTGAAGACAATGCGGAGAAATACAGGAGCTCTGCTTCTGACTCACTTTTCCCTTCATCCTCAAGAATCCAGTTTTAACCTAGAATGGGAGCACTTATATTTCAAGGCAGAAATTTTTATAAAGCACTTGAAGTTTAGAAAGGGCTATCAGCTATATTAACTTTATTTGAAATAACCCTTGGAAATAGAGTTCATTTTATTACCCACAACTAATAACAGGTGAGTGGGTTGTTCTGCTGATCAGTAGCGCGGGGGGGGGGGGGGGNGGGGGGGGGGGGGGGGGGGGGTTTCTAGCCACATCTTCTAAATCCCCTCGCACTAGTTCTGTGTCAGAAGACACAGAAAATAATAGTGGTGATAATGATGATGGCAGCAGCCAACGTTTGTCTACATGCTATGAACTCTTCCGAGTGCTTTAAATTCCCACAAACACTCTAAGAAATTGATCCTATTATTTCTGACTTTTTTTTTCGCTGCCATTCCATTTTTCAATACTCTATCCATTTTAAGGAATCTTTCCTCCCAGGAACAAAGCCAGGGGCCGCGGTATTTGGGGAGAATGGTGTACAGCTTGAGAAAGGGAAGTCTTCAAGCTCTGAACGTATGACTCAAGGACAGCACTCTTAAGAACCTGCAAAAGCTCTGAGGGGGTTTGGAACCTGAAACTTCCACCTCCTTCCCACCACACCCTCACCCCTCCGTTTGCCCCCAGTTCTGATCTGGGAAGTTTAACCGGCGATAATAATACTTTCCAGGTACCTACCACCTTTCAGCACCTACCTTTTAAATCGTTGATGTGTCTGGTTCCGCATCTCTGTCCCCAGCCTTTCTGAGAACCGCCTCCTCCTGCTGTAGTGTCGCCTCTGCGTGCCCGTTGCCATGGCGACGGCAGAGCCCGGCCTGGACCGATCCGCCTCCAGCTGGCGGGAGGCCGCCTGCGTCCTCCAGGGCTCCGCCCCCTACGGCCCTAACCCCGCCCCCTGCTTGTCCAGACCCGCCTCCTAACGGCCCAGAGCGCATTGCCTGCCGGTCTTCACCACGCCTCCTGCCGCCCAGACCCCGCCTCCTGAGGGCCAGAACTCCGCCCTTTGCCCGTCTAGACCTGCCTCTTGCTGGCTCGGACCCCGCCTCCTGATTCCCAGAACCCTGCCCCCTGCCTACTAGACCCACCTCTTACCGGCCCAGACCCCGCCCCGGAGCCCCTCCTTTCGCGGTTGGGAAGCAGCGTTCAGTGCTTGCCAACCGCACCCGGGCTCTCCTTCCATAGCAGCTGGTAGGGCGGTGGAAAGTGGTTGGTCTTCCTTACTGCCCTGAGGCTGAATGAGAGCTCGCAGACCTCCACCCAAGAAAACGCACCAACCAGGTTCCTTATGCGATTTATTGATCTTGACGGCTCTGCATCCCTGAGAGAAAACAGTCCAGCTTAAGGGGAAGTTTCTGGGCCTCGCAGTGCTGTCGACATCGATGACTTGACGTCCTTGCAATCGATGGTCCAAAAACGCTTGCTCCATGCTTCAGTCCCGCCCTCACTTGTTCGTGTAGGGTCTGGACCCTTTTGACCCAGCCTCTGAGGAAATTGCCCAACCCAGATCTAGGAGCTGTGTACAAGAGCCCTGAATGCTTTCCAGAGCACCTCTTTAGCTTAGGAGCTGAAAGGTGTGTAGGAGGGATACCATCAAACGGACTCCAACAAAGTCAGCTCACGTGCAAGTGCTTCAAGGGGAACCTGTTCTTCCTGCACTTTCCCTGAGGGCAGGAGCAAAGATAGGGGTCAACACCCCACCTTCTTGCACACTCAACCTAGCACCCTCATTCTGTGCAACTCCATCCACCCCCAGGTAACTCAAGCTAATGGTGCTATTAGCTGTTTGCTAATGGTGGCAAATAAGAGATAGGCCGAGGCAGAGCGCAGGACTGGGAGTTTGCAATTCCGGGGGCTCTGGAGTTCTTTAAGCCTAAAACGTGTCCACTGTTCTTCAGGCTGCCAGCCAGTCCCCCAGAGCCGTAGTGATGAAATGATGCCGACAGGTAGCGCCTCCCCATCAGGGCTCACACAAGGGTCCCGTTCTTGCTGTCATAGCGAGGTGTCACCTGGGGGAAGCGAAGGGTCGCATACTCCGTAGCATTTTTTAACTGCAGGTGCTTCACCTCCTGGACAGAGCGTGGCTGGGGAAAGCTGTACAGTTGAATGTCTGCATAATACAAGCCGCTGTCCTCCGACCTGAGGCTTTGACGGCTCCTCTGCTGAGATGCAGGCTGCAGTAACACCTGCTCGTACATGTGTCCCATTGTGTCCTGAGAGGAACGAACAGCGTTAAGGAAGATTCTTGGCTTGGTTGCTCCCTTTCCCCCTCTGTCTCGGGCTGGATAAGCTGAGTCCTGGGGTGCCAGGTCTGAACAGCCTTCTAGGAGGGACCGAGGCTTCTCATTACCTCCGTGTCATTCAGCTGCCGCCACCGCTCAAGCTGCGGCTGCTGCTCCTGCAACCTCAGTGTTCCTCCTGCTCGGCTCCCTAAGAGGAAGAAATCCGACTTTAATCCGCTTTCTCCTCTGTCTCTATTGAAATTGCCCTCTTCAAATCGCTGTTAAATTATTACAGTGGGCTTCTGACTAATCTCCCTGCCTGTCCTCTCATCTCTCACTTCCACCATTCCCACATCCAAACTCCTTAGCAGAGTATACAACCTGACCCTTTTACGATCTGCCAATAATACCTTCCGTCCTAATGTTTCAGCGGCCCCTAACATAATTTTGCAATTTTATGTTGGGACTTCCCTGCTGGTCTAGTGGTTAAGAATCCGCCTTCCAATGCAGGGAATACAGGTTCAATCTCTACTCAGGGAACTAAGATCCCCACGTACCAGAGGAACAGCTAAACCCATGTGCCACAACAGAGTCATCGCACCGCAACAAAGACCCAGCACAGCCAAAATAAAATAATGTAAAAACAAAAAAACCCAAAACAATTATATATTGAGAGCCCATGGTATGCCAGGCTCTGTGCCCGCATTCTGGGGATAGAAGGATGAGTTGGCTGTTTTCTCCACTGCAGGGAGCTTACAGTCTACTAGGGGAGACAGAAGCATACAGACTATTACAGTGCAATGTGCTAAGAGCTCAGCTACAGCAAATATTTGGTCACTTTTCATAGTCACTCTCTTCTCTCTCTTCTTGTTTCTGCATGCTCCCTGCTTCTCTTCCCCCTTATAAACTTGCTATTATTCCTTCAATATGGGTGTTTTCTCCCCTTCTGTAACAGCCTGAGTGTGGTGCTGTTGGGAGCACTAGTACATGGTATTACGATTCTCTGTTTATGTGTATCTCTCTCTCAGACTTTATTTTCAGCTCTTCTAGGGCCAGACCTCGGTGTACCTTTCCCCTCATGCCTGTCTGCCTCCTCCAGATCCTGCAGAGTGCTTCACATACACTGTAAGTGTTCTGTAAATTTTTGCTGGATGAATGAAAGAATGAACAACCTCTCTTGCCACTCTTAGATAATGGAAAGGATGAGGTTCAGAGTTTCAGAAGTGGTCTGGAACCTAAAGATCTCTTTAGTGTACTATCTCCCTTTAGCCTTGCTCCACCTTACACCCTTTCTTAAGACACTGGTTCTATTATCCTCTTTTCTCTAATTTGCACTCCCCCCAGCACCCCACACCCCCAACTCCATTACCTATTTTCTTTTTCCTCTGTAAAGTTGATGTACAGCTCCTGTGAAAGGAAAAACAGATCACCCATGTGTAAGAACCTGGCCTCGGTCTTCCCTCCTGCATCCTTTGCTCTGTGGTCTCCTTAACATTCTGGTGGGATAACCCTCCTTCACCTCCCTCCAACAAAGATTCACCCTGAGCCAGCCCCAGAGCATTTCTCAAGGGTACCACACCTCTCCCAAAGGGATGGTTCTGGATGGTGGAGTGGTACAACTGACACAACCAAACCCAAAATATAGCCCCAGGCAAGCAGGCGCTACGTGCCGGGGATGTAGTTGGGTTGAGGGCTATTCTGGGATTGTCTAACAGGCTAATCCCAGCAGAAGGCAAGGGAATCCTGCCAAATAAGGGGATATTCCTGGATTCAGAGACCCTCTTGCTTTTCCTTTCGCTTCTTTTTTTCAGGGTCTCTATCAACCCAGGATTCTTATCCTGGGAGTCACAGAAGCTGCCACAACCAAGGTTGACTCATTAAGGCCCCACAAAGCCCTTTCCTGACAGATGACCCCCATCCTTGCTTCTTTGTCCTTGTTTCTAATTAACAGAGAGAGAGAGAGAAGTTTAACCTTTGACGTCCACAGCCCAGGAAGCTCTGAATTTGGTAAGTGACTCAGCTACATTGCCTTCACTGCAGGACAGTTCTCTTATACTTATTTCTGAGCCCCTAGGGTCCCCGATGGAGCCAGCAAGTCTACGTGGTGTCAACTGTTTGATGGCCAGAGAACAACACTTGTCTGAGGAAATAGGCTGAATACTTCGTGGCTTACTCCGGATGCTTTTTCTTGCTAGTACATTTCCAGCTCGCACCAGAGCCAACTCTATTTGTCTGACTTCTGTCTCCCCAAGGAAGTTTCCTTCTTTAGCTAATTAAAAAGACAGGGGGAAGAGGAGTTCTAAATCATGTTCGTTTTACTACTGTAGAAAACTTAGGCTTTTTCCACACATATCTGACAGAGACTCGTGTTTTGGTTTGATTTTTGGTTTTAATGCAGCTTGCTGAGTTGAGAGCAGTTAGTCGCCATCCAGACTCTACAGGTGGTTCAGAAAAAAAAGCTTTAGAAACTATTTCTGGGTTTTTCTACTTCCTCTTCTGCCACTTCAGCTCTTCCTTTCTCTTAACATTGCATAAGCATAGCCTAATTCTAGCCTCTAAGTCCTCGCCCCTGGTCACTCCTCTCTTCCTACTTACTTCTACTTAAACTGATAAAGAAAATAATAATGCTAAAATAAGATGCACTTAGGTGACTCAGATTTAGTGAGCAGAGCCTGTTCCCAAGTTGGATGTTGCACAATGCCTGGACATGAACCCAGATGGAATATTCAGTTAGTCTCGTGGGTGATAGGATTTTATTTTTAGCTCAGAATTAAGGAAACCAAATGGGTAGTCTCCTATATTGGTAGTAAGAATAAAAATTGGTGCAGTTTTTCTAGAATGCACTTGACAATAAGTATGAGAGGCCTTAAACATAAATGTATGGAACCACTGATGTAGCAGTTCTAACCTATAATCAGACAGGTACATATATGGATATTTATTACAGCATTATTTATGATTTCAAAAAATAGGAAATATCCTAAATGTCCAACATTGGGAACTAACTAAATAAATGGCATCTCCAATCAATGGACTATCATACATCAATTTAAGAAAGATGTTGGAAGAACACCTAATAGCATGGAAATTTTTCCTCTTTACTAAGATAATTAAAAGCCAATATGTTTTGGGATAAAAAACTATGCATATAAAAATTTTAAAAGGATTACATGAAAATACACTATAATGTTCCTGTCATCTCTGGGTGCTTCTCTTTATGGTTGTTTCTTACTTTCTGCTCTTTGGTATTTTCCAAATGTTCTACGGAGGATATGTATTACTTTTGTAATCAGAAAAAAAAAATTTTATAAAAATCTTTTCAATTGTCATAGTGCCTTTAAGTTTCTGGAAGTCTGAGATAATGAGAAATAGAGAAGAACAATATTTATCCAGTCCTACTAATAATCAATAGGAAAAAATATATATTTTGGTTAGATTATCTGGTGTAGTGTTTCTAGCCAGGCTCTAGATTTAGATGATAGTATCAGACTAGCTCTATGATCTTTAGCAAGTTTTCTACTTCATGAAGCTTCCATTTTCATTTTATTTATTTTTAAAAAAATTTTGACTGTGCCACATGGCATGCAGGATCTTAGTTCCCTGACCAGAGATCAATCCCATATCCCCTGCAATGGAAGCACGGAGTCGTAACCACTGGACTGCCAGGGAAGTCCCTCCATTTTCTTATTAATTAAATGAAGATAATAATAGAACTTAAACCTCATGGCATTACTGTAAAAATTAAATAAAATAATAGATGTAAAATACTCAGCTAAGTGTCTGGTGTATAACGAGCATTGGCCAAAGCTGACTACTATGACTACCATCATCAGAGGAAGAAATACCCAAACATGAAGGATATGAAGACTTGGGGAAAAAGGGAGTGAAAGACACATTACACCCCCTCCTCTGGAATTTTTTATGTTTCTAGATGTCTTCTGTCTATAGGATATCTCAGAGTTGTAAACGTGCTTCATTTGTTTTTTTCAATCCTAACAATATTCTGGAAAATTATTTGTTCTTGTTTTATAAATGGGCCAACTAGGGCCCTAAAACTTTGGTATCTTACTCAAGAAGGCAGGGACCAAATTTCTTATTTTTACTTTGCTTTCTGACTCTACCATTATGGCTGGTAAACATAAGTATTCAATAAAATATTTGTTTCACAAGTGAACAGATACACGAATGAATAGTAGCAACAGGACGTGAATCCAATGTGCTTTTCAATGTACCTTAGCTATCTCTCTAAACATGATACTTTATTCATAAATAGGTCATCCTCAAGACAGATGCAGGCCTGGAGTAGTATAGAAGAAAGCAGTGGACAGGATAAAACCAGGTCCAGGGGGCTATCGTGTTAAAAAGAAATAACAAGCTTTGAATGGTGTTGCTTGTGCTAAGCTCACATCATCAAACCATGGCTTGATACCCAGTCTAACTGGAGTTTCAACCTTCTCCAGGAACATAGTCTTATATGGTCAGTTTGGAATTATCTGGTCAGCACCAGTGGGGTAGTCTGTCATATAGTCCTTTTCCATTGCCCAAAGGAAGATGAGGTCATCTGCTCTTCCCTGACCCCTCCCTCTTCTGCCTGTGAGAGCCTTCCATTTTGTACAGCTTCTCAGAGCTTCTTTCTACTTGCTAGATAAGATGCTACCTCATTATGAGCCCTTCAATAACGTCAATTAAATTTTGAAAATTTACTTGGCTGAATTTTTGCTATTTAACAACAGTGATGATAATAATGGGAAAGAACAATAAAGACAATTTAATTCATTTATTTTGAGGCATTCCCATATTATCTGCTCTTCAAGTCTGTGATCTTAACAACATACATCATGTTATCTACATTATATATGAGGAAGAAGAGAAGTCACAGGATTTGCCTAAGGTCACACAGCAAACAAATGTGAAAGTTATATTCAAACATTCCATGGATATTCTCCTTCTCCTCACTTCTCCCCTTTTAAATAAACATTTCTCCAGTTGATTTACTTGATTCTGGAGATGGTATTGTGTAGTGGTTAAAAGTATGGGCTTTGAGGGGCTTCCCTGATGGTCCAGTGGTTGACCCTGTGCTTCCGAAGCAGGGGGTGAGAATTTCATCCCCGGTCAGGAAACTAAGATCCCACATGCTGTATGGTATAGTCCAAAAAAAAAGTAGGGGCTTTGAAGTCAGGCCTGGGTTGGAATCTTGGTTTATTTGCTTACTAGTCATGTGACCTCAGACAAATTAGTTAACTTCTCTGAGCCTTAGCTTCTTAGCTGTAAAACAGGAGAAGGGGTAAGGCCACACCTCCCTTAGAATTGTTGGGAAAATTAAAGATTATTAAGAGCCTGGAACATAATAAAGTTCTCAAATTATTACCATTATCTGGGGGAGAAAGGAAGAGAATAAAGGGAACGAGGAGGAAGAGGAAGACAAACAGAAAAAAACATCGATTCACCATTCCATCCCTGTCCTCGTCGTTTGGCAGACAGCTGCCTTGGTTGTTTCTGAGGTTTCCTGAAAGGAGGGGGCACAGAATGGGGTGCTGCTCCTGGGGGTGCCAGGTGAAGCAGCTGACAGTGGGGAGTTGGCAGAGCGCTCCCGGCAGGCTTTCTCTTATCCCTGGGGCCTCTGTCCGCCAGCAGAGACCTTGCCCTCCGACCTTTCCCCCTACTCACCAGCTTCCCCCGCAGCAGAGCTGGTTTCCCATGGTGCTCTGTCTTCTAGGGAGCCCAGCTCTTCTTCCACCAAAAGAGGCTTGTGCATTTCCTGGTTCCCGGTTCAGCTTTCAGCAGTGGCTCCCGGGGAGTCTCTGTCAGTGTCAGATTTCAACCTAACAGGTTGGACTTTGGAAGCCACCTGCTGGAAAGATTCCCAGGTGACTGCTTCCAGCCAGAGGATAGAGGAACACACACGAGGTCCAGGTGAGAGCCATCTCACCTTCGGGATTTGGGGCTGCTTTGGGGAAGCATGAACTCTGAGGCTCAAGCTTCAGTGTTTCCTTAGGAAATATTTCTGTACTGCATCACACTGTCATTGAAATATATCCTCTATAATCAAAGTTTTACCTATGTTTCCCCAGCACTCCCCAGGTTTGTGTTTCACTTTGAAGGTCATTGGTATTAGTCTCTTATTATCCCTGTCCAGAATCTGAGTTTGAAGACTGGACTCTTTTGGAAACTAAAATTTAGGGAAATGTATTTCTTTTGCATTCTCTTGCTAGGGGAATGAATGTGGGCAAATTACTTTTTTTCTAGGACCTGTGAAAATGGAGGACTGAATTCATTACTTAATCCCCTTTCTGGTCAAAAATCATATGATTTTATGATTGGAGTGGTCTCAGCACTTCTTAACCATTCACTTCCCCGTCCTCAGTACAGAACTATGGAATCTCCATTTAATCTCGACTCAGCTTCTCCAATGTCCGAAGTTAGACTCATTCCACACTCATTGGCAACTAGGATGTGGTTGAGCAAATTCCTTAGTAGAAAATACGGACTCTTGGAGAATTTGTGGAACCTACACGGCTTGACTTCAGTGTTCCCACCCCATCTTTAGTGTATTGTTTAAATGCCCATTTATTTGTGTGTCCTTTAAGGATGTTCGGAATCCAGCACTCAGCCCTGTACTCCACAGAGTCATTCTTCCTCTGTCTTCTTTCTTTATGAAAAACAGAGATTAAAAAAACAGTCTTATAGGATTGTGGTGGAAAATTAAGCGAGATAATGTGTATAAAACTCCAATCCAGGACTTGACACATGGGACCCTTTCAGTAAGTCCTAGCTATGGTTATTATTATTACTTTCTGTTCTCAGCTAATTGTTAGATGGTAAAGCATCTTACTTTATTACCTGGTGCTAAACCATTGCACTAGCCTCTTATTTCATGACCATGCTTCTTCCTGGCAATCCACTCTGTACTCTACTATTAATTGTATTCTTTTCATCCTGTTACCCAAACTTCTTAGCCTGGTACTCAAAGCCTTTCATAATCTGGTCCCTTTTCAGCTAATTTCCTTAAATTAGAGATTTTTGATATGACCAGAAACTCCAAAGGAACCAGCACTGTGTTGTGGCAGTCAAAAACCTGATACACTCTAAGCAGCATTAATAGAAGCCTAGAGTGATAAACAAGGGTATTGATTATTCCACTGAAGTATATACCAGTCAGTCCATGATTGGAATAACAGTTTTAGGTTTACATGTTGAATTTCAAGTTACACTGTCAAGAGGCAGTGTATTCAAGAGAAAGTTGTCTGAGTTATAAGTGGTATGAAAAGTCGTATAAAATATGGTTAAGAGAATTAGGCATGTTTCATTGGGAAAGGGAAGCTTTTGGAGGACAGGATGGTTATTTTTAAATATCTGAGCAGACTCTCAAGGGAAAGAAGGATTGCACTTATTTTCCAGACAAAACCTGAGCCAATGGGCAGAAGTTATTGAAATGCAGATTTTGGTTCAAAAGAAGTCCAAAAAGAAAATGAATTGAGCTACTTTATGAAGTTCTAAGCTCTCTGTCACTAAAAATATCCCAGAAGTTGACTAATAATCTTCAGAGTGTTTGTGGGTTGGGAATTTGGACAAAATCAGAGGTTGCAACTTTTTTCTAGCTCAGGAAACTTTTCTTTTAAATGAAGCTCAAGTAAAATTATAAAACAGATCAAAGCAAAGCTGTTGTAATAGAAGTCTAAAGAGGATCCTTTTAAAATTCTTTTTCTTCTGAACTAGATGTTAAGATTCCTGAGAGCAGACAACAAAGGAGCATAGTCTTAAATTATATTTACAGTGTATAACCTCCATACCACAGTACTTGGGGGTTAAATAAATATTTGTTGAATGAGCAAACAAAAGGATATATCAATAGTTATTTCTCTAAGGCATGCTTTAATTTTTAACAGATGGCAATCTTTTAACTAAGAATTGAATTCTTTAAGTGAGGGTTCTTTTCCTGGGAGTCCACAGATCCCTAAGATGGCAAATAAATGGATCTCAAGAGCTATGTAAACCTGTTCAAATTGTGTACCACATTTCAGAGCATGTGTATTTTTCTGGTAAGAGGATCTATTGCTTTTGTAAGATTTTTTTAAAAGGGTCTATAAAAAAGTTAAGAATCAACCAACCGCTTTAATGGAAGAATTTCGGATGTCCATCACAACCTAGTAAAAGATGTATTTGGGGTCAAGGCAGTCTTCTGCAAATCATACACATTCAAGCTCTTTTGATTACAGAAAGTAATTAAGAGGTCAATCCCCCAGGCTTTCCAGAATATACCATACTTCTAGTACTAAGACTCTACTTCTACTTCCAAAGGAAATTTCCTTGGCCATCATCACCAAACCAATACCTTGGCCTGGGTGGAGGGATGCAGGGATTCCTCTCTTTGGGATGTTTCAAGATTAGAAACAAATGCTTTCCCTCCCAGGCAGAGGGTGGGGAAACTGTGGTTCAGCGACAATGGCAGAGGCTTCTGTGTCTGTGTTGCTGTGTCTGCATTCTCGATCCCTCAGAATCAGAGGCCAATTTCCGTGGGCAGACCAGGGCTTTAGGCAACTCTATATCCAAAAGCCTTTCCCAACCCCTACCCAAAACAGGCCAGACAGTCTGGAGACCCTTGTTTTTGTGTCTCTAATCACCAGCTCAGACAGTGCCCTCCGGGCTGTTTGGATGGCATATCCCTTTCCCCTCCCAGGATCACGCTCTCTTTTGTTGCACTGTGAGAAAATCATGGCCAGGAATTTGATGCGGAGCCAGTGTCAGCTTCCGGGTGTGATCTCAGCATCCACGTGTGAGTTCAGAGTGCTGTGACGTTGGGTCCACCTAACTGAGGACCTTTTTGTCTCCTTCCCTGCCCATCCCCTCCTCCAGGCCACAGAATAGGGAGCGGCACAACAAGGCCCTGAGATTTGGGTTTATTCAGCTCCACCCAAAACTAAACGAAAAAAACACAAAACACAAAAATAATGCTATGACACGTCTCAAGGGACCAAACCATACATTGTGACCATGCACGTTTCCCTTCCCCCAAGGATGCGGCTACCTCCGGGGTGCTGGGCAGCTGCTTGTATCACGGGCCGGGAGCTAGAAAGGGGTTCAGTGGGCGCTGGGTCTGTGGCGCTCAGGGCTCAACACCGACGGCCTCCTCCTCTTCCTCGGGATCAGGGGGCGCTGGGAGCAGGGAGATGTAGACCTCGTTGACCTCTGTGTCCAAATGTCGGCCGCCCCGAGGCGCCTCCAGGTTGAGGATGCCGTCGTGGGAGAGTGCGGCGCGCACCCGCCAGGGGTCCACGTCGGCCGGCAGGACGTAGGTGCGGCAGAACTCGCGCGACACGAAGCCGTGGCGGTCCAGGCGCTGCGGGTGCCGGGCGGACACCTCCAGGAGGTTGTCCACAGTCCTCACGGTCACCTCATCTGGGGTAAAGTGGCTCACGTCCAGAAACGCCTGGAACTTGCCCTCGCTGAGCCGAAGCTCGGAGGCCCCTGCCCGGCTGCCCTCCCCAGCTGGCGCGGCCCGGGGCCGGACATAGTAGCCGTGGTAGAGGGTAGGGGTCAGGATCTCTTCTGGCAGGAGGCCTGCGGGACGGAGAGAGGAGGGAGAGAGAGAAAGGCGAGAGGGCGGGCTGACGGAGGAAGGGGTGCGAAGGAGGGTGAAGTGAGAGGCCAGGAGGCCTGCAGGCGGCGGGAGCCGAGGCCGGAGCCGCAGGGGAGGGTCCCGCAGGCTGGAGGGAGGCGGCTGGGGAGAGGGGCTGGAGAAAGGGAATACACTGGGGTAGCGGAGAGCAAGGCAAACCGGGCCCGCGTGGGCCGAAGAGGGGGAACGGCCCTTGGGGGGCAGGGTGGGCTGGGCGGCGGGGGCGCTAAGGTGCAGATTCCGAGCTCTGCGGGCAGCAGTCTGCCCCGAGGCCAGTAGGAAGGGGAGCGCGCCCGCTGGGAGGGGGCGGCGAGGGGGGAGTCTGGGGTGGGAGATGACTCGCCCCAGGAGTTCAGTTAAGCCCGGAGTGGGGTGGAGGCCAGTTACCATTGGGAGGTCAGCCCAGAATCTCCGGAGGTGGGGGTGGGAGGCAAGGGGGGTGGGGTGGCGTCCGTGCCATACCTTCCCCGAAGCGCTGCTCGCCCAGGCGGCTCGGGTTGGCAAACTCGTACTCGGCGGTGGCCGGGTGGGCATGTGGCACGGAGCGGCCCGACATGACTGCAGAAGCGCAGGCGGCCCCGGTCCGAGCTGCGGCCCCGACAGGCGCGGCGGGACCCCTCCAGCTGCCGCCGAGCCGGGGCGCGGCGGGGGTGGGGGCGGGGTCTACACCACCCAAAATAGTGCGGAGCCCGGGGGAGGGGCGGCGGGCGCCCGCCACCAGCGTGTGACCCGCGCCGCCTGGACCCCCGTCCCCTCCCCTGCACACCCTTCAGCTGTCACAAGCCTGCCCGCCCCCCCCCGCACTCCCCCACCGGGACAGCTGGGGGTCGGGGCTGCGGAGCGAGCCGGCGTGGGGAGGCTGCTGCCCACGGCCCGGAGAGGCCTCGCCGAGACCCTCACCAACAGTTTGCACGTTTTTCTCCACCTTCCCTTCGCCTCCCCAGTGGCAGACAACCGGCACCCTACTTCATACAGCTCTCCCCTCGGTTTGAGGTTCTGCCAGCCACAGAAAATGAAACATGCAAACAACTTTCTACCCTTTCTTTGGGGGTGGGGTGAGGAGTTTACCCCGCCGAATGTCAGGGTCCTCTCTGAACCCAGGGCAACCCAGGGCACCACGTGGAAACCTGCCACGGCTATGCTGGTGGTCACTGCACACGAAGAGTTAATGTCCCTGGGGCTCAGCCTAGGAAGATTCCAGTTCCTGCTCAGGCCCAAGATAGCTGCTGGCCCCATTCCCTTGGCATGCAGGGTTGCAGGGGAGGAGGAGGGCCACACTGCCCGCTGCTTGGGATTCCTGACTCAGTCCCAACTCCAGAGGAGGGGGTGGGGGCGGGTGCCATTGGGTGTGGACAGAAAGCTAGTGAAACAAGACCAGGACAGGTCACTGGCCAGCTCAGGCGCGTTTGTCTTTCTCTTTTCTTAGCTCAGTGAGTACTGGGTATGTGTCATACTGCCAAATCCCCAATCACAAGTCCCCATGAACGGGCGGTGAGCTGGGATAATAAAACCCCTGACATCACCATTCCAGAAGCTTCACAAGACTGCGTATATAAGGGGCTGGCCGCAGCTGCAGCTGAAGGAGCTGACCAGCCAGCTGACCCCCCACACTCACCTAACCACCATGGATATCGCCATCCACCACCCCTGGATCCGCCGCCCCTTCTTCCCTTTCCACTCTCCCAGCCGCCTCTTTGACCAGTTCTTTGGCGAGCACCTGTTGGAGTCTGATCTCTTCCCAGCTTCTACTTCCCTGAGCCCCTTCTACCTTCGGCCGCCCTCATTTCTGCGGGCACCCAGCTGGATTGACACTGGCCTCTCTGAGGTAAGTCTCCCCTTTGCCTGGACAGGAGAGTTCATTCTGGAACCTTCTGGAAGCATCTCCATCCACTGTCCTTTTCCTCCTGGCCTAAATCTGTGCCTAAGGGTCCTACGTCTCTTAGGCATTTGTGTGTCCTGCAGTGAAGACAGATGAGGTCCCTAGTTCCTCTCTTCCCCAGTCACCTATTTGTATTTGGTGTGCCTCTGTATCCTATTTTTTACATTTTCCATGCAGTATGAAGGTCATTCTCTCTTATCTTCTGGGTAGGATGTCCCTTTCTGGTTTGGTTCATAACAGTCTGCAGGGAAAGAGCTGCCTTCAGACTCCTTTGCTCACCTCTTCTAACACCTCACACTCCTGACAAATACTGTCATCTCAAGTTTCAGAGCCAGGAGACAGTCTTACCTTATCCTGAGCTTCCACCCCTGCTGCATGGAGCTGGAGACAGCAACCATTATTTTCTTCCTTTTTATTCCCTCAGCTATGATTTTCTGGGTTTCTAAGGGTTGTGACAGGGCACTGGCCTGGGTCCAAGTCTAATGAGGATAGAATGTAGGTCCACTTTAGGGACCCCCCCCCCAAATTGTCCTAAGACGGTGGGAGAATGGGGTGAACAGATAAGAGTGACAGAAGCTGTCACAGATAACACTCTGGTTTAAAAATATTCAAGTGTGAGTAAACAGGAGCTGAGTGGGCAAGGGCTTTGGAAGGACAATGGGAGCTAGCAGAACATTCCAGATTGAGTGGGTGGGAAACTTGGCAGAGACCTGAGTAAGAAGAAGGAGCCTTTGTCTCACAGACAAATGACAAGGCCAGGCATTGGCTTGGAGAAGCAGCAGAAGGCATGCCGCGACCCATCTTTGTGCGTTGTCCCCTGGGTGGCCTGTCTTCTTCCCTGTGCCTGTCAATAAAAGTTTGGGCCTGATGACCAAGTGATGTGCCTAGGGTACCACTATGGTGATGCCCCTGAGCCAGAGGGCATGTTTATTCAAAAAGGAATTTTTAGCTAAAAAGAGGAGGATAAACTACCTGGACAGAGAGCAAATCTGCAGAATGATGAGATTGTACTAGTATCATTTACATTCCTACCCTTTTCTCTTACCCCGTCCCCACCTTGCTATTTCTAGATGCGTCTGGAGAAGGACAGATTCTCTGTCAACCTGGATGTGAAGCACTTCTCCCCAGAGGAACTCAAGGTCAAGGTGCTGGGAGATGTGATTGAGGTGCATGGCAAACATGAAGAGCGCCAGGTATGTAGCTGACTTTCTCTTCTGCTCTTTTTCCAGGGCATGCTATATGCCAGATATTGCCCTCAGCCCTTGAGGCCGGCAACATACCAGTCCTAAGCCATTGGGGTCAGGAACAGGGATAAACCTGTTGTTGTTTTGGCCAGATCTTTGTTGCTTATTTTGATTTGATCGCCTCAGGGATAGATGGGATGTTCCTGTTTAAGCCAGTGGTTCTCAACTTTGCCAAAGTTAAAATTACCAGAGGAATTAAAAAAAGAAAAAAGAAGAAAAATGCTCAGGCATATCCCAAATTATTTAAATCAAGAGCTTTAAAAAGCTCCCTAGGGAATTCTAATGTACAGTGAAGGCTGAAGACCACTGATTTAAATAGTGGTTTCAGACCTCTGATTGTTTTACATAATTGTATTAACTGCATGCACTTGGAAGGCCCTTGAATTTGAGACTTTTAAGTATTCCAGAAGTCACTTCTCTTTAGCCCATCTTAATGCTGAACTACTTGGTTTGCCTAAATTTCAGAGCTGTACTCAGCTCCTAATACGCTAGACCCATGTGGAAATCAGTTGACAGCCCGTCTAAATAAATGCTTGAGATTTATGAGGTATAAAGGTTAGGGCTGGAATTCTTCAGGAGAGTTCTAAAGAATGAAATAACTTCTCATTACTTTCTGGGAGAGTTTTTCAGTGAGTTTGCTTCTTACTGATTAGTTATAACACAGAAACTTGTGCATCCAATAGTATAGTGTGAGGTCCTCAGGCTGTTTCAGTTTTGCTATGATTTAATTTAGATCAGAGTCTCCTTGGTGTAGTCTTTATTATTGTTTTTGTTATTATTATTAGACCTATTGGTCTGGAACATTCTGGAACATTCCTGAAGCATCAGGACAATTTCTGGGCTTTCTTAAGAGATTCAACTTTTAAATCGAGATGATATTCCAAATCCCGTAGGCCCAACAAACACTGATCTAAAACCTTTGGGAAATACCACTGAACACATCCACAGCTCAGGGCTTGGCGAGCTAAGAAGTTTGGCTGTTCAGACCTCTCAGATTCTCATTGGTAGGAGTGACCACTTAGGCAATTCCATCATAGACCCAAAAGAATAACCGTTTCGCTTTCTCTCCTGTTGCCATGCATTTGGTCACAGCTAAGGGGAAGGAGAATGTCTGAATTCTAGACAAGTAATGCTGTTTCTGTTCTTATCTACCTCTTTCCTTCTCTTGGTTTAGGATGAACATGGTTTTATCTCCCGGGAGTTCCACAGGAAATACCGGATCCCAGCTGACGTGGACCCTCTCGCCATTACTTCGTCCCTGTCGTCTGATGGGGTCCTCACTGTGAATGGACCAAGGAAACAGGCCTCCGGCCCTGAGCGCACCATTCCCATCACCCGTGAAGAGAAGCCGGCTGTCACTGCAGCCCCCAAGAAGTAGATGCCCTTTCCCTAACTGCATTTTTTAAAACAAGAAAGTTCCCCATCAATGAATGAAAACCTTGTGACTAGTGCTGAAGCTTATTAATGCTAAGGGCAGGCCCAAATTATTAAGCTAATAAATATCATTCAGCAACAGATAACTGTCTTGCGTTTGAATATTTTGTATTAATCATCACATTATGTTTTAGGGGGCTCTAGGGATATTAGAGTCTGAATGACTGTTTCCAACACTTACTAATGGGATAAATTTAGCAGGCCACTTAAAACTTTATGGTCTTTAAGTCTTCCATTTATAACATGGGGTGCTTATTCGTACATTCATTGTAAAGAGTAAATTAAGGAGAAAAAGTAGGTAAAGCTCTTGGCAGAGCTCAAAGAAGATCAGTTGCTTTCCTCTCCCCATTTGATTTTGGCTCTGGGTTCCAACAACACATCTCAATGACGTCTCGATGACAATGCATAAAATGCCTTAGTGCATCTCTGAAATGAATCATGTCACCAGGGAAGAGATGGTATCCTCAACTTTGACATTTTCCCACTGATAAGCATTGCCTTCAGCAGACTTACAAAGGCAATAAATAGGACAGGTGATTATCGCCAAACAAGTCTCTCAGGTGTAGTCTTTAAATTAGCTAGTGAACACTTACTAAGACTGGGAAAAACACAATTAATTGATCCATCATTTAAAAAGTTAAAGTTTTTTTTAATTTTTAAAAATACTGAAATACAGTTGATGTACAGGCTTCCCAGGTGGCACTAGTGGTAAAGAACCTGCCTGCCAATGAAGGAGACATAAGAGATGTGGGTTCAATCCCTGGATTGGGAAGATCCCCGGAGGAGGGCATGTCAACCCCCTCCAGTATTCTTGCCTGGAGAATGCTATGGACAGAGGAGCCTGGCGGGCTACAGTCCCTAGAGTTGCAAAGAGTCGGAGATGACTGAAGCGACTTAGCACGTGCATGCACAGCTGATTTACAGTGCTGTGCTTATTTCTGTGCTGTGCTTATTTCTGCTCTACAACAAAGTGACTCCGTTATCCACATGTATAAACATTTTTTTCATATTCTTTTATGGTTCATCACAGGATATTGAATATAGTTCCTCATGCTGTACAGTAGGACCCTGTTGTTTATTCATCCTACATATAATAGTTTGCATCTTCTAATCCCAAACTCCCAATCCTTCCCTCCCCATGTGCCTGCCACCTCGGCAACCACAAGTCTGATTTCTATGTCTGTAAGCCTGTTCCTGTTTCATAGGTATGTTCATCTGTGTCATATTTTAGATTCCACATATAGGTAATATCATATGCTATTTGTCTTAAGTTTTAAGAATTACAGTAAACAACTGATCAATAAATGATTCTCTTATTGAGGTTAAACAGAGACGCATGTGTGTGTTTGTGTTAGTCGCTCAGTCGTGTCTGACTCTTTGCGACCCCATGGACTGTAGTCTGCAGGCTCCTCTGTCCATGGGATTCTCCAGGCAAGAATACTGGAGTGGATTTCCATTCCCTTCTCCAGGGGCTCTTTCCCACCTAGGAACAGAACTGGGGCTCCCTCACTGCAGGCAGATTCGTTACCGTGTGAGCCGCCATGGAAGCCCAAAGAAAGACATACTACTTTACAATAACACCGCTGCTTCACTTTTGTGAGTCTAGACAAACTTGATTCAATTAATGAAAACAGCCCTGGTATAAATGCTTACAAAAGACTCATTTTTTCTGCAGCCGCTTGCAGCTGATTTCTGATTTCTCACAAGGATTCTTTCCTTCACAAAGCCTACTGTTTGGGGACTGGCCATGCTGGAAAATAAGATACATGAAACAATTGCCAAAAGTTTTCAAGATGCAGCAGTGTGGAGTAGAACAATATACATTGCGAATTTATTCAGGTTCAAAGTGTTTCCTCTTAAAAAAACAGCTCCCCGATGGGTCTGAAATGCCATGATCCAGCCAGAAGTCAGATTTCTCTATACTTAGAGCCAATTTTTATGGCTGTATAGCAGACACTATTGGTACCTAAGTAGCCTATTTACCACCTTCAGTCTTGCCAACAGAACCCCAGATTGGTTTAGGTATCCACTATATTCTTCCTAGCCATGTGCTTCAGAAGAATGAAAGGTTCATCCAAGCTCCACCCAGATCAACCATGGAAACTCTCTTCCTTCTGTCAAGCTTAGTCTTGAAAGGGCTACGACCCAATTATGGCCAATGAGACAGGAGGGCAATTTGCAGGAGATGCTCATAGAAAAACATTTTACCTTTTAAAAAGACTCTCCAAAAGGAGAGAGTGAGGGAGGGAAGGGGGAATGAGAGAGACAGAACAGAGAAAGAGATTGAGTTTTCTTCCTGTCCATGATGGAGCACAAGAATGCGATAGACTGCTGTAACCATCTTGAAACTATGAGCGAGCATCCGTGATAACTGATGATGGCTGAGCAAGAGGATGATAAGACTCTGAGACCTTGATGAGCCACTGAATTGCTAAACTGGAGAACTCTAGAGATTCCTTACTTCAGAATGTATTATGTCTCGTGTTTGTCTAATTTATTTTGAGGAGGGTTTTATGTTATTGGTATGCAAAAACACCTTAACTGATGGAGGCTGAATTAAACAGTGTGAAAAACTGAAAAATACTCTGGAAACCAAGTGTAAGCTTTAATCATTTTAGTGCATATTACCAGACTTCTCAAGCAGAAATAGTCTCAAGGATTTGATCTTATATGAATCATACTTTGTCTATTAGAGTATAATATTTATGTTTCTGAAAAATTTGTACAGGGTTGTCTTTTTTATTATTACCATCCCCAAGTTAGTCTACCCTTTTTATTATTATTTTTTTCCAGACCACATGTTTGGCTATAGCTGTTTGTTCACTGTTATTCATATAGGACTTTTCTAGGCCAGCATATTCGAGGGATTTCTCTTTAGTTTTATAGTTAGCTCATCCATAATTCTACTTCATTCTCTATGTCTGAATTTTGCCAGAAGTTTGTTGAGGCAATTTTAATTAGCATTTATTTTGTTTGTTAATGTTACCTAACATTTATTAAGCACTTACTATTAGGTGTGGACTGTGTTAAGTACTTTACCTTTTTTTTAAACTATCATTTTTTTAAAGAATAGATTTGGGAAATGGGTATATAGTAGGTACATATAAGTTCAATAAGATATATAAATTTGGTTTGGCTTCCACTTAGAAACCAAATGGAAGTTTTGCCTAAGGGTTTGGGAATGATACACATGTTTGTGCTTAGAAAAATTCTTTTCTATTTGAAACTTCACGTTTTATTTGAATATTACCCTGGATTTGATCTTTGATCTGAAGATTTACAATCACCATTCAACAATTATTTGAGTGCCTACTATGTGCTAGCTACAAAAATAACACATATTTTTTTGCCCTAATACAAGAGTGGAAGAGGGGGCACACAAAAAGACACACCTTTTTAGGATTCTATGATGTCCACTCAAAATGTCTGCTCTGAGGACCCTTAAGAGGATTATCTACCTTGGACATAGAAGGAATCCTGCAACAGTGGAGATGCAGACGTAGAGAACAGACTTGTGGACACAGTGGGGGAAGGTGAGGGAGGGACGAATTCAAAGAGTAACACTGAAACATATACATTACCATATGTAAAACAGATAGCTAGTGGAAATTTGCTGTATGATGCAAGGAGCTCTGTGACAACCTAGAGGGGTGGGATGCGGTGGGAGGAGGGAGATTTTCAAGAGGGAGGGGACATATACCCACGACTGATTATGTTGCTGTATGGTAGAAACTAATATATTGTAAAGCAATTATCCTCCAATTGAAAATAAATAAATAAAAATTTTAAAAAAGTAATCTTGGAGACAGTTATCCCTGACCAAAATTATTTAACAGCTTTATGGAGATACTAGTCACTTACTATAATATTCACCCATTGAAAGTGCATAATTTAATGATTTATTTATATTCATAGTTGTATATCCATCACCACAATCAATTTTAGGATATTTCATTAGCCAAGATGGTAACTTATCACCCTCTAATGCCATCCCTCAAGCCCTGAGCAACCTTTAATCTACCTTCTGTCTCTATATATTTGGACAATTAATGTCGTGGAATAATACAATGTCTAGTCCTTTGTGACTAGCTTCTTTCACTCAGCAGAATGTTCTGAAATTCCCTCCAGATGGTTCCATGCATCAATACTTCACTCTTTTTTATTGATAAACAATATTTCTTTACATGGATCAACTGCATTTTATTTACTATTCATCGGTTGATAGACATTTGAGTTACTTCCACTTTTTTTCTATTATGAATAATGCTGTTATGAACAGTCATGTACTAGTTTTTGTGTGGACATATGTCTTCATTTTTCTAGAGCATATATCTAGGAGTGGAAATGCTGTTTGTTTTTTTTAATTTTTTTTCCATTTGTTTTTATTAGTTGGAGGCTAACTACTTTAAAATATTGTAGTGGGTTTTGCCATACATTGACATGAATCAGCCATGGATTTACATGTGTTCCCCATCCTGAACCCCCCTCACACCTCCCTCCCCACCCCATCCCTCTGGGTCATCCCAGTGCACCAGCCCCGAGCACTTATCTTATGCATCCAACCTGGACTGGCGATCTGTTTCACACTTGATAATATACATGAAGACATACAGATGGCTAACAAACACATGAAAAGATGCTCAACATCACTCATTATCAGAGAAGTGCAAATCAAAACCTCAATGAGGTACCATTACACTAGAAAGATAAACACCAATACAGTATACTAATGCATATATATGGAATTTAGAAAGATGGTAATGATAACCCTATATGCAAGACAGAAAAAGAGACACAGATGTATAGAACAGACTTTTGGACTCTGTAGGAGAAGGCAAGGGTGGGATGATCTGAGGATATTGCTGTATTATATATAGCTTTCCATCTAACCCTTTGAGACTATATTCCAAGGCAGCTGCCCACTTAAAATTCCCACCAGCAGTGTATGTGGGTTTTGATTTCTCAATATCCTCACCAACAATTATCGTTATCTGTCTGTTTGGTTATAGCCATTCAAGTGGGTTTCTCACTGATTTTTTATAGGTTTATAGGGCTTAGCAAGGTTAAGAGGGAAGAAAATGCATCTAGAAGGGAGAACAGCATGAAGTGCCTAGGCAGGAGCACTGGATATATGAGAGGGAATGTGGCAGATGAAAAAGAGTCAGAGAGTAGAGAAAACATGGCTAAGGAGTTTGAAATTTATTTTGAAGGCTATAAAAACCAGTGAAAGATTTTAGCCAAGTGAGTAGCATGATCAACTCTGCATTTTTAGACTCAATCTGGGAGTGGTATAGTGATTGAAAAATAGGGACTGAAATAGAAAATAGAGACATCAACCAAAAGAGTAAGAATAAGAAATAATGGGAAAGTGGAATATGGTAAAGGTGACAGAGATGTAAAAAAGAGGGACATAATAGCAGAGGGAGCTCTGCTCAACGTTATGTGGCAGCCTGGATGGGAGGGGAGCTTGAGAAAGAATGGATACATGCACCTGTGTGACTGAGTCCCTTTGCTGTCCACCTGAAACTGTCACAACATTGTTAGTTGGCTATATTCCAACACAAAATAAAAGTTAAAAAAGAGGAACATAATCAAGACATAATGTGTGGACAGAATTTACAGGGCTTGGTGTCTGTTTGAATGGAAAGGATGAGAAAGAGGGATATAAAATAATTCCTTGCTTTCTATTTTTAACAACTGTGTGAACTTATTATGCAATATATTAATAGTAAAAATAAGAAAGAGTAGTTAAGACACATAAAAATTCACCAAGATATGAAATATATAAGAAAGAAAAGTTTGAGACTGAAGATTATGAATTCAGCTTCAGGTTTCAGGAAATTACCTCAACCTGATATGAAAAACCCATAACCAACATCATACTCAATGGTGAAGATTTAAAGTCTTTCTTCTAAGACTAGGATCAAGACAGGGAAATCTATTTTCATCACTTCTATTCAATATATTTTTGCAAGCTCTAGCCAGAGGCAAGAAAAAGAAAAGCATCTAAATTGGAAAGAAAAAAAGCAGAACTGTCTCTATTTACAAAAGACAAGATCATACATGCATAAAACCCTAAAGATTTCACCAAAAAACTCATTAGAACTAATAAACAAGTTTAGCAATATTGCAGGATATACAACCAACACATACAAATCAGTTGCATTTCTGCAATCTATAGATTAAATGCAATCCCTATCAAACTACCAATGGTATTTTTCGCAGAACTAGAACAAAGAATTTCACAATTTGTATGGAAATACAAAAAACCTCGAATAGCCAAATTAATCCTGAGAAAGAAGAATGGAACTGGAGGAATCAATCTGCCTGACTTCAGACTCTACTACAAAGCCACAGTCATCAAGACAGTATGGTACTGGCACAAAGACAGAAATATAGATCAATGGAACAGAA